GAAATATTATTGATAAAATTAATTTGTAATTCTTTTAAATAATAAAAACATATCAAAATCAATTATAAGTAATAATAATTAGTTGGATTTTCAATAAGAAGTTTTAATTATTATTATTTTGTCCATATTATGGTTATCGATTTTTAATTTTTTATGTTTAAAAAGTATTAAATATAATTTTAATAAATAAAAATTTATGAACTTTTATGGTCTATTAAAAAAAAAATTAAACATACTAATGTGTCCACCCTAAAAAAAATTTATGGCTCTACCCCTACTCACATGGGTATTCTTGTTACTATGATCGTGTTTCTATGATAGTGATTATTCTTGTTACTGTGTCACTTTTATTCTTAATGTCTTGATGTTACTGCCCATTTTATAATATAACTATTTATGTCATTAAGAAAAAATTGTCTTTAATTGTTTTTTAAACTTCAAAAATAACGCATCTCTCTTATTGACCCAAAAGTCCACAACTATAGATCGAACTTCGAAAAATTCTATTATTATTAAACACTAGAAAATGAATCATTTTTATATTTTGTTTTTACTTCCAAAATAAAGAAATAAATATAAATAGAATAATTCAGCCGTTATAAATAGAAATGATATAATACGAAAATAAACGTATTAGAGAAATGACAAAAGTAATTATAGGTGACATTTGATAACCACATGTTTTTGTTATTCATTTTATGGCTAAAATAAAAATATGTTTGGTGAATATTTTTGTTTTTTTTTTAACATCTACGTTTTAAAAATAAGACTAAAATATGAAAACATCCAAAATGATATTTTTGAAAACATCTAAAAAAAACACATGCACGATTTTTAATGAGGCCTTGCCTTCGATCCTCTTTAGTAACAAAAAATAGATTTTTTGCTAAGACATCTCTTTCACCCCCTTTTTGTCTGTCGTCTCTCTCTCTCTCCCAACGACGAAGATGAAGTCGAAGTTATCGCCATTGCCATCGCCAATCACTCTATTTTGTCAAGTCTTTGGTCTCTCTCAACTCATTCTCTCTCTCTCTCTCTCTCCCTTCTTTGATGGTGGGTTTCTGTGTTGGGTGATGGGTTTTACTGGAGAATTTCAGGAGTAGACTGTGGGTTTTGATGGTGGGGGGTTGCATTGGAGATGGGTTTTGATGGTTGTTGGGGGGGGGGGGGTTGGGGGGGGGGGGGGGGGGG